AAGTCAGGAAGACTTGCTACAACCAAACGATGAAGTCGAAAATAGATTCCAAGAAACGGAAGTGTCTTTGCCATGAAGTACTCGAGAACGGCGCATGCCCCAAAAATACGGCAAATATTTTTATATTATCCTTAAGGACCAATGAGGAGTGTAACTTTGATGTAGAAAGTTCAAGAACATTCTATAGCAATTACGTGGTCTTTTTGTTAACAGTTCTTAATTATTTTAATTGTAATTATGTATTTAGCGGTTTTTGTTATGTTGATTTTTGTGGGAAGTAATTTTATATAAATGGATGTAAAACTTTTGTAAAGATGAGTTGAATTGAGACAGAAAAAAAGTTTTGTTTCAAGCGAGAAAAACTACAAAAGTTGAATGAATTCTGAATCTAAAATAGCAAATGCCCATCTTTTTTATAAAGAATATAACTTTATTTCATTTGACTTTTTTAGTTCATTTAAAACAAGATAATGATTATTAGGAAGGTTACTAATTATTTTTACACTTAAAAAATTTGCTTAATATTTTGCTTACATTTTGTCACAACAATTAAACTTTTTCTACATAATCACTTTTTTCTAGTTTTAAAGCATATTCTTTAGTCGATGCTATAATGTCCATAAATAAATTTTGTTTTTTGATGGTTTATTGTGGGCCAGAATTTAATAACATTTTTTGGTTACTTATAAAAGTTTACTGGAAAGGTTTAACACTGCATTTTTACTAAATTACTAGTTGTTAATGAGTCAATGTTAGGTTTGCTAGGAAAATGTGATAAATTAAGTGACATCGTTAATAATGTATAATATAAACAATATACTATTAACGATGTCACTTGAACGATATATTTATAGATATATATATATATATATATTTTTGGTTAAGCCTGTTATTAATTGAAATTGGGATTTGTTTTAGAATTTGTGGTGGATGATTTGAGTTAATATTAATATACAATAATTCATCATTTGGTTTTTTGAAAGGCTTATATGAGTTTTCAGAGAGGTTAAGAGTGACATCAAAAAAATTTGCAACTTTTAAATTTATGCTTATTTCGATTTGAAAGCCAATATTTTTGAAAATTTTTATAATATCTTTTCTAATTTTATCGAGTTGTGGACCAGTTTTTTTACGCATTACTATTAAACCATCATCACGATAAAGGCCTAAATCATTAATATTGATTATTTTACTTAATAAATCTAAAATGTATAGTCCAACAAATTCACAAATTTCTGCTCCATCATCACTGCCCATTGTTACATCAAAGCAATCATGTATGTTTTTCTTTTTCCAAGTTTCCTTATTAAAATAAAGTAGGGTTTTTCTGCAATGTTTTATTATACTAATTGTATCTTCTGGAATAACTGTGTGGATTTTTGCAAACTCAATTGTTTTATCTAAAATATCTGCAATTATTGACGGGTAAAAATCTTTAATATCAAATTGGATAATTGTACAATCATTTTTATTTTCGATAATGGAGAACCAATTTATAACATCTGTGGTATTTTTCCACTGTTGTAAATTTAATTTATTTCTAAGAACATTATTAATTCTGTCTAATTTAACTTTGCTTACATGTCCAATCTCACTTTTTGAGGGAACCAATAACCGACAAGGGAGTTTGTTTTGAAAGTTTGGTTTATAATCTTTAAGTGTTGCAAAAGCTTGAGCAGGGGTGATTGATTTAATTCTGTTTTCAAGGTTTATTTTTTTAGCAATACTTTGGGCTTCTAAATTAATTGCATTTTCCGAATTTTTAGGGGCTTTCTCATAAGAATTAGTATATTGTCACGTAAAATTTTTTCATAATTTTCTGTTGTGAGTTGATAAATGTTATTTGTTTTATCAGCAAAAACCAAAATATTAGGGTTTGATTTAATTTTTTTACCATCTTGAATTCTGAATCGAATCACTTGAATTCTTTTTGAAATTTGTTATTTATAAGCCGAAACTTTATTGTTTTAATTAAGTGCAATATTGTTAAGTGCTTATTGTTTTAATTAAGTGCAATTTTCCAAATCAAATATAAAAGGTGGACTATTTTTTGTTTTAAATCCATAATTATCATTATCTTGGTTATTATTAAATATATCATCAGTATTAGTTTTCGGTTTTAAGAAAAAAGGTGCTTTCCAACGAATTCTTTTAATAAAATGCTCAACTTTTTCAATCAAAGAAATAGTATTACTTTTTTCATCTAGTATAGGTATGTTTTCACTTACTCGTTGAAAAACATACCTATACTAGATGAAAAAAGTTATACTATTTCTTTGATTGAAAAAATAGTTTAATTTTTTGCTTGCTTCGTAAAAATTTTGAAAGATGTGAAGAGTTAGATTGTAACTGTGTTTTAGCTAAGGTTAAGAAACCCTGGGTAAAAGCAGGGTTTGAAGTTGTTAGTGACACTCAATTGTTCAAAAATCTTGTAAGACTAGGCAAGCGGTATTCTGATTTGAAAAAAAAAATTAAAAAAGAGGCTCTTCTAAAGATTTAACAAATCAGAAAAACTTTGAGAATTACTTAAAAAAAGTTTTTTGGATTGGCAAACCAGATTTGAAGAACATTATAAAAAGTAACAAAAAAAGATCTGACAAGGATAAGCACGAAGATTTGATGTTTTTGGAAGATTAGAAAGAAGAAAGAAAGTTTATTCTTGGGACAGAGGATAAGAAATTTAGCAGAAAGGTAAACTGTACGATTAAAAATATTTGGTGATATTTTTCTTCTAAAACATTTCGTTATATTATTTTATGCTCGTAGACTGCAGAGAGTAACAGAAATAAAAATATAACAAAGGAAGTGTGGTTGACGAATTCTAATTATGAAATTGAATTCAATTCTGATTTGAGTTCTGATTCATCCTATGATTCTGATTTTGAGCCTAGTAACTATTATCAAAAAGAACCATCTCAATCTAACAGTATAGTAACTGCAGAAATTCCAATAGATGTATATGCCGGGAACATTGCCCTTATGGCTATGTTAAGTGATGTTTCACCAAATGTTTTGCAGAAAGTGACAAGTGCCATTTTAACTAATGCTAGTGTTGATCTTACAGATATACATTGCAGTAAATCAACAGCTTTTAGAAAGATGAAATTGGCAAATGAAAATATATCACTTTTATCAAAAGAGGATGTAAAAAAAGCAATAGAAACTTCTCCTTATCCATGTATTATACATTTTGATGGAAAAACTCTTTATGAAATTAATGCAGGAAAAAAGTTCAAGATTGACAGACTGGCAGTTCTTGTGAACAATGAGGGTGAGACGCACCTACTAGGTGTCCCTCCTCTAACTTCCTCTTCTGGTGAGGATCAATACACAAGTGTCATGAACTTGAATCAAAAGTAGGAGGTCTTTGTTTTGATACAACTGCAAGCAATACCGGGATCAAAAAAGGCTCAGTCATAAAGATATCCAACAATTTAAATAAATATCTTCTAAAACTAGCATGTAGGCATCACATAACAGAATTAAGAATGCATTTTTGGAAACATGCAACAAATGAGTTGAGTACAGGACCAGAAAACCCATTGTTTCAAAAATTTAAGAGCCTATTTGAACATCCTAATTTTAGTTACGCTCCAAGTGATCTGTGCAAGTTTGATTGGAATGAGGTTAATGGTAGTATAAGTGAAAAGGCTGCTGAAGATTCTATGAACTTTTGCAAAGCATATATAGAAAGAAAGGGGATAGTAGGAAAAGATAAACGTGAAGACAGAAGAGAGCTGGCTGAATTAGTAATGACTTATCTATCACCTTCTGTTTATAAAATCAGGAAAACTGCAGCTATCCCTCGTGCCCATTTTCTTGCTAAAGCAATTTACTTTCTAAAAATGCAGCTTCTCTATTCTCAACTTGATTTTGTTTGAGAAAGCAACGATCTCAAAATGGAAATCAAGCTTATCACAGAGTTTGTAGCCTGTTTTTATGCCAAGTGATATTTAGAATCAAGCAATGTGTCAAAGGCCCCTAACTTAGATATGAAAGCTATCCATCAGATGCATCGATTCAGAAATATTTGTTTGAATCCAAAAGCAGTTGATGCTGTGCTTGATTCGCTTTACAAGCACACTTGGTACTTGGATTCTACTATGATTCCACTAGCTCTATTAGATGAGGATTTGCCTTTAAATGAAAAACAAAAAAATGCAGCTGCAATTCTTTTATTTAAAATGCCTAAGGCTGAACACTTTAAAAATGAAATCAAAGAAAAAAAAAACATCAGAAAAGAGATAGAAAAAAATGCTAGTACTGAGAAAGATCCACCAAGCTTAGCCCCTTTGGTAGATGAGTTTTCTTACCTTATGTTTAGTTTTTGCGGTTTAACAGAAGAAAGAGTAAAAGACTGGCTTTCACTTCCACTGCAATACTGGCATACACAGTCTTCGTTTAAAATTTTTGAAAGTTATGCAATAGCCTTGTTGTTATCAATGAACATTTGGAAAGAGTCGTCGGCATGATGTAGCAATATGTTCATCGTTACAACAACGAAGAGGAGAAACAGAACAGATTGATATCAGTTGACAGAGTTCGCTCTGCTTTCAGGATTTCTGGGAAAAGCTCCACCAGTCTTACCAAAAAAAGGTTATCTGATAGTCTTTCCTCATATATTGTACCACAAAGCTGTATTCTTGGTACCTAACTCTACATTCTGTAAATCAAGTTTTATTGCCAACCATATGCAATGCAATAATTTACAATAATACGATAATATGCGATACAATGTTGTGTTTTGTTTTAAACATAATACAATGTTGTGTTTTGTTTGCGTCACATTTTGCTGTAACCAAATTTAAATAAAATAGAATGAGACAATCGAATTTTTAATTGATGGAAGCTATTTAGAATCAAATTTGAACTTTCTTTGTTAGGATAGAATAATTTACAGTCAAATTTTTTGGATAGAATTAAGTTATTAAAACTTGTTTCAGTCGAATAATATAGAACCACCATCGAGAACAGAATCTTCTAGAATCAAATCAGTTAAATAAATTAAAATTTTAATGTATGTAATAGTATATTAAATAATACATTAAATAAACACATTTATAAAATCTGCTGTTGGTCCTCTGCATACTGGACAGTAATTAGTAGCACTACTTTGCATGGTTTTAGCATATCGCTGGCATTGGCAAAGATAGCGACTAGGGAAAACAACAACTCGAAGATTGTTTACAAGGCAAACTTTGCGGACTTTTTTGATTGGTCTGTCCACCACAGCAGCTTGTCCATTTGATTGAGATTCTTCATCAACAATTTGTTCCTAAAAAAAAGTATAAATATAAAACATTTAACTAGTAGAATTCCTTGTCACTGTCCCAACAAAGGGAGGTTGCCACCTGTCAACAACAACAACAACAAGACCCTAACATGAATACAGTAAATACATTTTGTTTATTGTTAAAAATTGTAATTAATTATCTAACCTGTTCAATGAGTTCTTGAACTTCCTGATCACTTGGCATTTTCATATTCTTGCAGAGGAATGATGCAGCTTCAAGAAATTTGGTTGCAGTCCATTCATTACTTGCAAGCTTTTCTTCATACCCACGAAGACGCTCTTGATGCAGTTCTCTTCTAAATTGGGAACCATTTTGGATCTGGAGCATCTCAAATTGGATAGACGACCTACTTAAAATTGATATTTTCAAGATAATTTTTTTCAATTGATTGCATTTTATCTGTACTATTTTATTCGCTGGTTAAATAATCACATAGTAGCATGGAACAAAATTAAAATTTTGTTCCATGCTACAAATATAATTTATTAATGCTAACATAAGCAGGTGCCTGTAGGTTATGAGCATGCAAAATATAAAGTTACAGAATAGGATCTCAACTGCTGCGTCTACTGATCAGAACACTAAAGTGCTATTATATAAAGATTTACATTTTGTTGAAGCTTTTAAGCAGTTTTTAGACAATTGGGTTCTAAATTATTTTCACAAATTTGTTTCTGGCATTGGGCACCATTTTGTTTTATAATTAATAGGGATGCGGAGTCCCAAAAAGGACTCCAGATTTGAAAATCAAAAAAAGATTATTTCTTCCTGGTTTTTGGTATCCAGGAGCTCTAAATATGTAAAAAAAGTCTATCAATTAGTTTTGGAGAAAAAATTAAGGCTTTTAGGTTAGAGGAAAATTTTTTAATTTTTTGGTTATTTAAATAAGGGCATTTTTTTTTTTTAAACAACATTTAAGTTTTTATAACTTTTTTATAGCAATATTGTTTAATTTAAAGATATTTTATAAATAAAAAGACTTTAAAATATTAATGATAATCTATAGAGAAAATAATTTTATTTCAAAAAATTTTTTGCTTGATTTAAATTAAAAAATATTTTATATTTTATCTACAATAATTTTTACTAAGGAGTTATGTTGTTCAAATCACTTTTTTTATTCTCTTGTTCTATTCTCTTTAGCAACCACTATAATGTTTTGTCTCAAACTTTCAATATGACTGTCAGCCAGAAAATCTTGAATTATACAACTATTTCTTTCAGACAAATACTTCTTTCAGAGCAGTCATTTTTACCTTGAATATTTGAAACAAAATCTTTAAAAAACTTGAGACTGATGAGAATCTACTAATTTTCTGTCAGGAGTCCAAAACAATGTATCTTGTATGTTAGGATTGAGTATGAAAAAAATATGTCAGCTGTTTTTACTAAAAAATTCATGTAAATGAGTGTCAATGATTATGTCATGTCTGATCTCAGATTTCTTCATTTCTAAGTAAGAAATATTCTCTGAATAAGGATACTTTATAAGTTTCAGTATCATTAAAAATTTCTCTTCAATAGTTATGCCTTATTCTACAAGTGAAACAATAAAATCTTCAGCCAAATATTACATAAATTTAAGAAAAACGTTATTGAGATTTCATCTTTTTCTTTCATATTTTCAGATACTTTAATAGCTTTGAGGTCATTGGATGGTGCTGGATTATGAGAGATGATTTCAGAAACTGGGAAATGGAAAATATTTCCACAAAAGGTGCAATTTTGTTGATATCTCTTTTCTCCATTGACATCAACTTCAGTTTCTTATGAGTTAGTTGAAGCATCAGTATATCCCATTAGCCATGAATCTAGATTCATGACAAGCAGGGGGTTGAGAAAGAATGGAGTTTGGTACTCTGTTACCATATAAAAAAAATCTTGTTCACATTTTATATTGTCTGTTGTTTCCTTGGGAAACGTTTTCTGGGTAATGACGTTTATTAGGTGATCATTAGCTTCCTGTGCAATCTGATGCATGTAAGAATTGTTTTTAAAAATGTTGCAGGTAAATCTGTCTAGTGAATTAATATCTTCATTTCATACATGAAAATTTTCAGGCCAAAAATTTTTTTTAATTTGCATACAGTTGTTTTTTTAATGCCTTAGTCTTTTCTGTTAGTGGTTGCACAAAATGATGGGTTTCTCATATATACATTGATGGCAAAAAAGCCACATAATGTGCTTCCCAATAACATTCTTACTTATAAGTTAAATTCCTTCATTATGCAAATCAGTGCTGTTTTCAATTTTAAAATCTTTCAGTACTTTTTTTTGCTTGTTTTGCCTGATCTTTATTTTGGCATGAATTTGCCTGGAACACTCCTAGCAGAATATCGCAACTACAATAATCCTCAGGAGCTGTCACGCTTACTGCAATCCTTTCCATTTTAACAATTAAGTTGTTTATAAGGTTCCATTCTTACACAATTTACTATCAAAGTCAAGAATAAGTCTCATCGAATAAAACATTTTTGTAACTATTTCTAATTGTTACAAAAACTATTTCCAAATTATGCCCTGCATGCATTAATTGAGAAAAAAATTGCTGTATGACTCCACACACCAAAATGAAACCTGCCAGCAGCTTCACTTGTTGCTTTTATTAATCCATCTTTTAATATTGACAGTTGCAGCATCATTATGTGCATCATTGCACCATTATGTGCACCATTGCACCGTTTTTTGCACCATTACACCATTATGTGCTCCATTGTTGTTTTCAATTTCAAATCATCAGAGCCTTTTTCTTCTTCTGGTTAACGTTACAGGGAAATCTTCTTCACTGGTACATCAAAAATTTACTCATTAGATAAATTTGAATGAAAAGATATTGATTTCATTTCAAAGACTGTATGATTTTCCAATAAATTTTCAACCTCTATGAGCATTATATTTTTTATCCAACTCATTCCTAAATTCTTTTTTGGTAAACCGTGTCAACATCCTTTGTTATAGCCATTTATCTAGTTAATATTTGGTCTATTAGGAATATTGATGTCCTCTTCAATAGCATCAGGAGTTCTGTTGCGGTCTGCTTTTTTTTTTTTTTGTAACAATTATTTTGCAGTTTGTCAAAAAGTTCATTGGAAGGTTTTTTATAGTTGGCTTTAAGAATAGAAAATTTTTCATTTAAAGTTCAACCTAATATGAAAAAAAAACAAATTCTGATTTTTTTTTCCATTTTTTGTTGTTTCAATCTTATTTCTAATGGCTTTTGAAAACTTGCTTATATTTAAATAAATTTAAATCTCTCTTTTTGAGAAAAAATTTCGGGTGCCCAAAAACTCAAATGAATCATAAGTAGTGATCTCTAAAGAATGTTTGATTGCAAAATTTTGGATCCAGCATAACTATTTTGGAGGTATTCCAATTTTATTCTTAGGTGCTCATTATACCCAAATCTACCCAATACATTTTATTATCTGTTGACGCAAACTTTGTGTTAATTGTGTGTAGACACAATCAAAAACAATTTAGAAATGGTCTGTTGTTTACCACTAAGGTAAAAGGATCTAGATTGCCTCTAGATCTTGATTGAAGGTATGAGTTTTACTTTTACTTACCTTTTTCATTACCTCTACTATTATGACGTTTCTTTGCACTTAATAAATAAAGTTCTGCAGTTAACTAAATTTTTTTTTTTTATAATTTTTTAGTCTACATCTAAACACCATACCCACCTAAACACCCTACACCCATTGCTTATTTAACAGGTTTTCAGCTATAGTTACTTTTACACAAGAACATTTTAAATCACTCTTTCAAGTAAATTGATAAAATAAGATAAAAATCGTTGAAAATTAATTAAAAACCGATCTAAAAATTTTAAAATTAAATAATTTAAAATTCTTTTATTATAAATATACTTTTAAAAATATTACAGAGATAAAATAACCACCTCGAGTGCTTTTTTACACAAAATATGTTTAATATGTAAAACCTGAGCAATTTTACGACCATTAGATTTATAAATGTTAGAGCAATATAACAATAAAATTTATGATCCTCCATGCAGAAATATTAGCAAATTTTCATTTCATTCAAATATATATATTTAAATAAATTTTAATCTTGTTTTTTGCCAATTTAATTTCAAGTTAAAAAAAAAATAGCAAAGTGCCCAGACGATTTGGTATTATAAGCATTTTTGGTTTTTTAAAATAATTCAAATAAATATTATTAGATGAGTAAAAAAATACCAAGCTGACAATAAGAACTAATTTGTAGAATATAATGATTCTTTATTAATGAAACTTAACATTAAAAGAGCAAATTTTAAGCGACATTTTATTAAAGCAATGCTACTTTGTTTTTACGCAAAAAAATAGAATTGAACTACATAAAGATATTTAGTCTTGTTACAATATTAAAATTTTTTACTTTTAATTTCACTAAAAAGCACTTGGTAATTTTAGCATACTCAAATTACACGGAAATGGTATCTTTAAATAACGTCAAAAATAAATGTTCCCATCATTTGTTTTCCAAAAAAAAGGAAACGGATTTATTAGCTAACGTATTTTTCTTTAGAAAAAACAAAAAAAATCTTTATTTCAACATCAAAGTTTCGCCACATGTGAAATAAAAATATTTTAACAATACAAAAACCTGAATAGGTTTTTAATTAGATAAGAGCTGCTAATTACCTTGTATAAATTTACGCTAAATCTACTGCTTCCTGTTATCACCACATAAACTAAATTCAAAAAATACAAAGCATCCTGTACTTCTTCAGGCAGTTTTTGACCTCTCCACCCTTAGTCACTGTTTGCCCTTTTTTGCTTTACCCCTTCCTCCCTTATAAAGGATGTCATAAAATCAGGACACTCTTCTCTCGCACTGCTCACATTTTTATGTTCATTCTCTGTAATGATTGCTACACAATCAATTCCCTTGTGGTATTACGAAATTGAATAATATCAATTTATAAACTATAAATATTCTTTATTTTTTAACTTATTACATGTTTTAAAAAAGCCAAAGTTCGGTCACTTTAGCTTTGCACATCTCATGCATAAATAAACGTTTTTTCAATATTTTTTTTCGGATTTATACTGACAAATAAATTGTTAAAATAAAATAATAAAAGTAAAAACTAGCATTCGATTATTTCAAATAAAAACAGCTATTTTGACTAAATTTTCAATACCATCTCATAAATTCGGTCACTGTATACATAAGGTGTGTCAATTTTCCCTTTATTTTTTAAATTGTAAAAAGAGTAGTTTTCTATTTATGAGAAATAGAATTTAAAACTTGGAAAAAATAATAATTTTGAAAAAAAAAAAGTTTTATGCTTGGTAATTTTGCTTTGGTGAAGTTAATTGCCTACTTATGTTACCGAAAATTTATTTTTTTCTAATTAGGTCAACCTGGGTTAAAAAAGCGCAGTTGAATAAAATTTTAAAAAAATTATTTTTTACGAAATTTTAGATTTTAGAGTTTTTTCAGGGATCCTATTTTCTTAGAAAATGCTCCTGGTAATTTTTTCTTTAGTAATATCACAAGTTTATCATCCCTATAACACATCACAATATTATGTTTGTGAACATAAAAAAACATGAAAATTAGTTTTCTAAAGTTATTTTATAATAAAGTTATGAAACAATATCGTTTGATTCAATTTCAAAAAACTCTTTTTAAGTTAGGAACTTGTTAATTAAAAAAACTGATTAAAAAAATTAATTTTAGCGAACAAATTTATTTAGATGATTCTAAAATATACCAATGTTAAATTTTATCATTACTTTCAGAGTTTGCTCATTTGAAGTTTTGACAACACGCACGATTTTGAAATTCTTTGCACAGAATTTCAGCGCTTTGCAATTAAATATTGTTTTGGAAAATGGTTCTTTTTAATTATAATTTTTAGTTAAAGTATTTTAAAATTTAACTGATTTTGAAGAAAAAGAACACTTAATATTTGAAAATCGAATCTTTCTTTGCAAATATAGTAAACCTGGCTCTAAATAATGATAGTGATAAATTTGATCGTTTTACTTTACTTATTTTAGATTTTAATAATATGCATAATTTCAAAAGTCTTGTTTTCCACACGAATTATTTCAGCAGATTTCAAATAAACATCGTTTCTTTTTATGATTCTTATGCACGAAGTGACAAATGTTATTAGAAAAAAATTTTGTTATTTTTACTTAAATGATCGAAGTTACATGACGACCGAACTTGGGCCATTTTACAGTATCCCATTCATTTTTTGTGGCTTTTAAATTGCAATTATAACATCAGAATAAGTAACCTTTTTTTTCTTTTTTTTTTAATTTTCTTTATTCTCTTTTATTTCACATTATAAAAAGTTAATTATTAAATGTTCTCCAATGAAAATTTATAAATTATTATTCAACGTATTATCATGTTTTAAACGTGATCTAAACGTCAAAGCCAAATATTTTCATTTCTAAAAAATGGTTGCGATAGTTACTACAATCGCTTGTGTCGATTTTCTATTATTTTGTTCGAATTTATTAAAAGATCTTTTTAAAGTTCGATGATCAAGTTTTATATATAAAATCTCATTTGATTTTTTTCTTAAATCATTTTTTCTTATTGTTACCATTGGTAATTAAAATGCACAGAGGTAACAAAACTTAACTCCGTGAGTATATAGGTATATTTCAGTTTTATATTCATTTTAAATATTTAAAGTGATCTATAAAGAGTTTTATATAATAATTATATTTATTTATGTTCGATTATTTGTTTGCATTAAAAACGCTTATTTTTGAAACTAAATTTTTTTAAAACAATAACATACGGCGAAATCTAGTATAGAATTGATGATAACAAGTCTTTATTTTTTGATATATTTAGTAAATTATAGTATAAAAATACATGAAAAAAGTGCTAAAATTTCAATGTATAGCTTTTTCTTTTTAATATAACAGTGAAATATAACATGCCATACAAAATTTCCAACATATTTAGGTGCTATTCAATTGTATTAATATTCTGAAAAGTTAATGTTTTTTTCTTGCTTACAGCGTAAGTTAAATTTCCGGCAAATCTTGTACTCTTTTGGATAAAAATACGAAATCCTTCTTTTTATAAAATTGCTGTGAAAAACGAACTATTTTTTTATTTTTGTTAAAAATATTGCTATATTATTAATTTTTATAACAAAAAATACATTTTAGCATTTTAATATATTATATATATTTTGTAGCTAAGCCTTAACAATTATTGTCGACAATGATTTGCAAATGTTTCCTTAATATAAATATTTGTTTTTCATTTGTTCTTGTTTCTTTGCATTAATTTATTATAAATTTTTCTCCATACAACTTTCATATGTATTATGTATGTTGGCTGTTATTGCTCAATCAAGAAACGCAAATCGCACCACATATTTTTATAATATAAAATAAAATTTACATATTTTGGTATTATAAAAATATTTTATTTTTTTATAATATAAAATTATATCTCATTTTTATATTATAAACACTATATTATTCGTCTTCGTCAAGTCGATTTTTTCGAAGTTTTCTAATATTTTAACCCGCTCTTTGAACTCCCTCTTTGATTTTTTAATGAATTTATTTACAGAAATGATTTGAGAAAGATAATCGAAGGAGATTTTCGATTGAAAGTTCTAAATTTGATCAAGTTCTTTAGAAATTCGATTTTTGAAACATCTCTTCACTTCAAATCTGTGTTTAAATAAAACTCGTCTTATTAAAATAATCGGACGATGATATTTTGTTTTAACAACTTTTTACGTTATGTGGTTGAATTTCAATCAACTTTTAAATTTGTTTGGAATGATAATATGAATAAAATGGTGTATTTTTTTAAGTTATATAAATGAATAATTTGTTTTATATTATTTTAAGTGTGTCACGTTTATAATTTATAATAAAATGAAATTTTTTTGATTTAAAAATGTGATAAATAGAATTTAATTTCAATTTTATATCATTAAAGTATTATAATTTTATAATTTTTATTAAAGAACTATTTTATTTAAAAATTACATAGTATTAAATTTTTTATAAACGATTTTAATTTTATAAATATACGTATAAATATGTAGGATACTATAATGTATTTATTATCATAATTTCAATTATTTTAATTATTATTTGTTTGTTGCTATTTATAATTAATATTTAATTTTTCTTTAGATCGTCTATGTGAAAGTAATAAAGAAAGTTTATTCATTGAATGTTTTTATGAAAGTCAATCATCATTTACTGATGAAATAAAATCAATCTTTGATAAACAATTGTTGACTATCTTTGGGTGGGTGATTTCGATTAAAGATGGAAAAACTTCTTACGAAACTTCTTGCGAAAATTATTTCGTAAATCATTACATAAAATCTGGAAGTAAGTTAACGGAGTTACTTGTTGATAAAAATATTTTAAGTGATGAAGAAAAAAATCTTTTAATTCTTTGTTCAACTAATGTTCGCCAAGTCTGGTTTTATCGTCCAATTAAATTCGAAGGATGGAAACCGAAAGATAAGATTGAAGAGTTGTTGATATCGATCTCACATTATTTTATAACAAAGAAAGATTTTGAAGAAAACTTTCTTCCATGGATTAATCTTTGTGAAGGCTTATGGCTTACACTTCACGACGACATTGATTTTATTGATGATGTTTATGAATGGATTCGTTGTTCGAATGTCAAGAAGTTTTGGATCAAGTACCGTGGAAAAGTTTTTCGTAACCTCAATGAATTAAAAAACTTTATAACACTTAAAAATGTTTAATATCTTAAATATGTAAAATAGAAATAATAATTTTAAAATAATATATTAAATATTTAATATATTATTTTATAATTAAATATGTTTTAAAATATACGAATTAATTTTGATAATATTTTTATAATTTAATATTAGATAAAAAGTTTAATAGATTTTTTGTTTAAATTGTTCGTTTTGATTTATAATAATAATTATAAATGTTATAAATACTAAACATAATTATTATTATGGTATATAATTTATTATTATTATTTTTTTAATTTTAATTATAAAAATTATAAATGACAACAATAATAAAAAATAAAATCTTTTTTTTTATATTTTTTTTTTAAATTTATTATTGTTTTTTTTTCAATTTTTATTTTAAATATTTTGTATAATTAGCATTAAATATAATTTTTATTACAGTGATTATGAAATATATAATTATGATTAAAATAAATAAAAACTAGATTAATAATAATTATAATTATTAAATGTAACTTGAATTATGATAATTATTGCTAATAATTATTTTACTAATTTTTTGTAATATTTTTTAGTTTTGTGATTTTTTATAATATCGTTCAGAGATTCTAAAGTAATGTTATGTGGAAATTTATTTGACTAATTTTTTATATATTATATATTTTTTTATATTTATATATTTAAAATTTATGTTGTATTTTGTTAAATAATTTATTTAAATATGAAAATAAAACATTGTATTTATTAACTTAAAATAAATTTTTTCAAATAATATTATATACATAGATATGCATATACATATAAATAAATTACATATTATAAATTAAAAAAAAAAAATTAAATTAATTTTTGAAATTTAGTTTTATAACAAAATAAAATTTTATATTTTTAAATTTTGCAACATAAATTTTAAAACGTCGAGTTTATTAAGGTCTCCGCCATTTGTTTCTTTACGAGATTAACGTTGTCAACGAAATAAAAAAATTCGAAAATGATTTAGAATTTTTCTTCGACGTTATTTTGTTCGAAAATTGAGTTTTCATTTAAATTGCCCATTAACTTCATCGATCGATATGTTTTTAAAACAATTAAGCTTTTTTGTTAATAATATTTACTAATAATTTCAGACTTTTTTTCTACAACAAACAAATAAACCCGAATTGTTTTTTACTGATTAATTTTTACATTAAATTAAATCTTTTACTGTTGAAAATTCCTCGATCAAATGTAGTAACAATCACTTGTGTCTACTTAGTTACCAAGTAAAAATCTTTGCGCTTTTTCGATTAGTACCATTACAACTAAACCGTTATTTTACGGCGTAATAAATTTAAAATTTCGGTAAATGGCTGTAAATTTATATTTCAATTTTTTATCTCATGACTTTGAACCAAATATAATCTCAACTTATTAGAGGTTGAGTTAAAACTAGGGATGTACCAAAAATTCGGCTTCGGCACTTTTGCCAAAGCCAGGGGCTACGTTTGCCGAATCATTGGCTTCGGCAAATTATTTTTTGGTAACTAAAATCACTCAAGCAAGTTGTACAGCAACTTTGGCAGGAATCAATTTGTTTAATTTTCCAAAACAATTGTTTAACAACATAAGTTTCATTATACAACCGACGTTAAGTTCGTAACTTATACTAGTTTCCATTAAAAAAAAATTTGTTGTGGAACTATTGAACGACTTTCCCACCGCAGTTGGAAATAAAAAGTTTAAGCGACTGATTTAATATTTATTAAATTTAACCCTCTTGTTTTAAAAGATTAAATGCAATATTATTATTCATTGTAGAAAATATATGGCAAGAACTCATTTATTGACTTCAAAAAATGAATTCTCGCTGGTCAAGGTTGACCTTTAAAAAAAAACAGATTTATGGAAAATAAGGTTTTATAAAATATAATGCGGCCGCATATGGAAAGTAAGATTTTATAAAATATAAAAATAAGTTATATGAAAAATAAGATTTTAAAATAACAATGATGTATTTTGAAAGTACATATTCTAAAATTTCATAAAGTTTATTCTAGGAAGATAATAGAGATAATAGATAATAAATTTATTTAAGGAAGATAATAGTATGACAAAACATTGCTTTTAATATAATTTTCTACCTTGAAAGGTAGAAAATAATACCTTACGAAAGGTATATCACATATCCTACCCTAAGGTTGAAATTTCTACCTTTTTTTTTAGTGTGTATTTTTTCTTTGAATAGAAACAATACAATCTTGACTTAATAGAACTTTTGCAATATAAATGTTGTTGTTTTCAGTTTTTGTGTACATTTTAAAAAGAAATGATGATAATTTTATTAACATATTTTTGTTAATACTTGTTGTTTGAATCAATAAATTAATAACTAAAAGATTTTGTACAGTAAAGAACCCTGATTGGCTAAAATAGCTACTTCACTTGGCCTAATGTGACCATGATTTATTATTAGCTGATTGTCTAAATATTTTAAGGTTAAGAATTTTGGTAATAATAATAACTAGAATTTTATGGCTAATTAAGCAAATTATTTAAACTTCAATAAAGTCTTTACTAAATAACTTTCAGATTTTGATTTTAAAGCTTAAAACTTTATAAAATCGGCCCACTAATTTTCGAACTTCAAGGCAAAAAACCTGGCCGTGTTATATAGAAGGCTATGCACCCTTAAAAAAAATCCACATCAAGCGAAGTTTCATATGTTTCAAATAAATCCACTTTAAGTGACGTTTCAAACGTTTTAGTTTTGATAAACGACATAAATCTTCTCGCCTCCACTTTTCTTCCGCAACAGATAGCGGCTGTCTCCAAAGAAATTTTTAGGGGCAAAATATACTGGTTTCCACCTCCAGTTGCTTTCGCCATTCCTTTAGCGGCCGCAAATTCATTCCGCCTCCAAAAGAAATTTTGGAAGCGGAATTAATTAGAGGCCTTATCTAGTCCATTCTGCCTCTCAGCTGGCTGCAGCAGGAAAAAAATAGGAGGAAGTATTTGCGGATGTAATGAAAAATAATTTCAGATTTGTTTTTAAGTTATCGAACTGTTTAGATATTAATTAGAAAAAATGTTAAAATTTGACACCAAAGTTTTGTTTTATATGATTTATTGCAAAAATTTGACTATTTAATTATAACAGTAATTTTGTCGGAGTGGTTGTTTATCGAATAAATGCGAATAAAAGCAAATAAAATCAAAAACTATTGAATAAATTAGAAGCTTCATTTTTAAGGTTCCTTTAAAACATAGGTATTTAAAGGAGTTTTAAGGTATCTTCTTAAAACAAAGTTGCTTAAATTTTTGTTTTGGAACATTAATTGCAATTAAATATTAAAATTGATTTTGTTTTGGAATAAAGTTTTGAAAAAAATGTAATTAAGGGCTATTTACACATTTAAACAGCCATTTTGAAAAATTTTCAAACATGATAGTAAAAGTTTCACAAATGCTAATAACTCCGAATTTTCAGAGTAAATTAACTATTGACTAGGGTTTCTACCACGTTAGTGGATAACGGAATATTCTTTTAAAGATACTCAATTTCTTTTTGTAAAATAATAAAATGAAGTCCCCAAAAATATACAGATAATGCTCTTGAAATGAAAAAAAAAAAAAAAGATATTTAGTGAGGTACAAACACCGTATTTTTATATATTTTATAACACAACAAGGAATAACACAAACATAAAAAAGTTGCTCATAAAAATTGCGTAATAAAATAATCATAAAATTGTTATTATTCTAAAAACCACTATCAGAATATGTCCCTACTTCATTTTATTTGTTTATAACCCTTTTTTTTATAACTTTTACCAACTTTAGTTGGTATAAGAATAAGCATAAAAAGTTTTTCTGTTAACATCTGATGTGGAAATCTTTTTTGTCATATATTAATTATCAAATTGTAACTTGTAATTAATTATCAAATTGCACTTGTAAAACTTGCAATTGGTGATTAAGTTTTTATTCTTTCGTTACATGTGTACTAACTGCCTTTGAACTTATATTAAGGTTCTTTAATTGTGCAATAAGTCATTTTTTTAATGACTTATTGCACAATTTTTTAAAAAGATAAAAACAAACTTGTAATAAAAATAGTCTTTAAGCAAGCATGTAAATATAACCAAAAGATGTAATATTATTATTAAAATTTAAACTGGAAAACTTATCCTAAGGTTTTTTTGAGCACTGGTAAAATAATAGGCGAACATGATGAAAAAAACGGGACAATAAAGTTAAAAAATCAATAGACTAACTTATTGCTATGCTGATTGCTAGAGAAGTCTGAAAAACTGTTTCTGTTGTGCACTAAAATAATTTTTTTTAAAAAAACAAAATCAACTTACAACAAACTGTTTTCACATAACCAATCTCCGTTAAGAGGGCACAACCTTATTTAAAAAGTGTAAATTATTGAAAAAATTAATTTTTCAAAAATACACTTATTTTAACTCAAATTTACCGTAGAAACTATTGCTGATTTTTAATTTTTTAATATATGCTGATATTGGTCAAAATTTCATTTATTTAGATGTACATTATTTAAAATACCCTAGCAACGCGCATAGCAACCATTTTTAAATGTTGTTATTCACCTTTTTTCTTTTTTAAAAGTTGATTTCGACTTTTTGTTTGTACAGATGGCTTTTTGTTTGTATAACGACGTAATAAGCTTAATGGAAGTTATTTTACTAGTTAAACTACTGATTTGACAGACTGGTCTTGGTAGAATGTTTGTTTATTTTATACAAAATTGGTTTAAACATATTTTATTTTCCAGTATTATAACAATGTAGTATGCTTTATAAAATAATCTCGATGCTGTTTTGCTATGTATGTATCTATGCTTTTATAAGCTTTCTATCTATTGCTTTGTATATTTACTTAACTAGTATAACTAAAAAGTTGAAAAATATTTACAAATTGAAATGGAATCATCTCGTAAGTTTCGATCTAAAAGACATAAAAGTAGGAAGTTTTATGGTAACCAACACTCGAAAAATTTTACTGAAAACTCTAAAGTTACAAATAAAGAAAACATTGCAACAACAGTTTCTTATAAAAAGTTAAACGCAAAAAATAATTTTGAGATGAATTGCTGGCAGGATATTTTGTAAATAAATTTTAATTTTTCATCAATGCATTATTGAGAGTAGTACAGTGGATAACATTAGATTTTTGAAGCTGGAAGTCCGAGTTCAATTCTTGCTTAAAACAAAATTAACATTTTGTGAAAATTTGTTTTATTTCAACATTACTTATTTTTATTAGTATTAACTATAATTATTTTTTGTAAATTATTATATATTTTTTTTAATTACGATTAGTTATGAAATTTAAGTTTAATAGGTGCATTAAAGTGTACATACATCAACTGTTATAGCTGTAGGCGAAGTGGAGTATAGGTACGTTGACTGATTTAGGGATAGGCGAAGCGGAGTGTACATACATAGACCAACTTAAATAAGGATAGACACAGTGTAGTAAACTTATATTGGTTGAATTAAATAAGGATAGGTACAATGGAGTTTAAAGAGTGTAAATCGACTGGGGTTTTGGTTTCTGACAGCCTAATAATTAAAAAAATTACTTCTTTTATTTTTCCACTGCCGGAAGATGGTTTATAAAAATAATAATTTTTCCACTGCCGACATTAACTTACTAAAATCAAAATTGCGCTGCCGGCAATTAATCCCAGAATTATTTGCTGGCACTGCCAGCAATTACCGCTTGCCAAAGTTAAATGGTTCAATGGTTAAAGTTGTTGATAACAACTGCTGTTCAAGAAACATTACAGGAAACCGAACTGTTGATATGGAATTGTTAGCTGAGATTTTTAAGATTGTTTTGTGCCCAGAGTGCTCACATAATTTAGTAAAGCTGAATCAAAAGCAGAAATTAGGAATGGTTTTCGAATTTGAATTGAAGTGTGCTATATGTGGTTGGTTTAAATTGTTTTAGACTTCCAAAAAAAGATCAAAAACAAAAATTTTCGAGATTAATAGTAGAATGTTTTACAGTATGCTTAGAATAGGAAAAGGTTATCAATCTTTGAAACTATTTCTTATATTACTTAATAATGGTATTGTTGTGGCAATTTCTATTGACACAGGTCGAGTATTAGATGGAGACACAGGTCGAGTACTAGATGGAGACACAGGTCGAGTACTAGATATAGAGGTAATGAGTAAATATTGCCAGGCTTGTATTAATGTCAGAATATGGAAACATTCAAACGTAGAGAAATATGCAAGTTTTAAAGCAGGCCATACTTGTATAAACAATCCATGGATTTGCACCATCAATGGAATTGGTTGGCACAGAAAAAATTTTTAATCGATCTATAGAATTAAATAAAATACAATACACTGAGTTTTATGGGGATAGGGATTCAAAATGTTGTCTGTTGAAAATGTTTAAGATGGCATAAAAGTGTTTAAACAAGAAACCATTGGCCTTGTCCAGAAGCGTGTCGGAACACGATTGCGTGAATTAAAAAAGAGAAGGGACTAGGAGGGAAAGTTAACTGATGCAAGGTATTGATAAGCTGAAAAACTATTATGGTATTGCAATACGTTCATTTTTCCACAATTTTTAAACTTTTAAATTTATTCAAAAAATCTAATTTTGTAATATTTTACAAAATAAGTCTTTTTTAGAAACACCATTAACATCATTTAGTTCATGGTAAATTATTTATACATTTTATTTGATTAGATGTGCCATATTATATGACTTCCTTTTTTAGATGATTATAAAGTAATTAAATTTTATTTTATTTATCAATCAATTACCAAGTAATTATTTAACATTTATTAATTAGTTAAGTAAATATAATGATCCTGCAAAGTAACAGGATAAAAACTAATATTTACAACATCAGAAATCAGAAGCAATAATTTAATGATGAGGAAATAAAAGGCTTTATTTAAAAAAGACAAAAAAATGTCTTTTATAAATATAGCTTTTTACAAAAATTGTCTTTTATAAATGCACTTGGATTACAACCTAGTAAAGCTTTATACTTAAAAAAAATGTCGGTCCTTTACAAAAAAATTAATAAATTTATTATTTCTAATAATTGCTCCAAATGGCCTTCAAATAGGTTTAAAAACACAATTTTTAATGAAACAAAATTTTATTAATTTTAGAAAAATATTCAATTTGGAAAATATTAACTTTTATTTTATTTTATATATATATATATATATATATATATATATATATATATATATATATATATATATATATATATATATATATATATATTGTGGGGGAGAAGGGGAAGAGGGGGGAGGGAAAGAGGGACAGGTAGGAAGCCTAATTGATACTTCCCCACCCTGCCCTCCCTCAACTAACTTCAGGGCTACCCTAGGCACAAAAAAAAATAAATGAAGTATAAATTTATTTTTGCCCTCAAAAAGACTTTAACAATAACTTTTTACAACATAAAATGAGCAGCTGTGGCGCAGGGGTTAGAGTTCTGGCTCAGAACCCAGAGGTTCAAGGTTTGACGCCAGCTCTAGCCCAACAAGTGACATTGGTACAGAAGAAGGTGTGAACTTCTAGTTAAATGCTCTCCCGCAGTGCTCTGTGATAAGACTATAACGATTTCTGGGAGCACCAAAAAAATATCAAGATATAGCTAATTTTATCATAAGTTAGCAATAAATTTTATGCTGACTCAGCATATAAACTTTACTTGAAAGGCTGTATTTAGTAAAGTCAAAAAATGCAATAATATATTTTTTAATAATAGTTATGTTTGATAACTATATTGTAAGTTAAAACAATGCCTAAAAAATTATCATGGTGACATCAGCATTTGACCATCAAAATACCCCAAAATATATTCCTTTATTATCTAATTTACTGTAATTAAGGTGGTTAAAAAATTTTCTAGATTAGGTTTCTTAAAATGAATACATTGAAATTTAAATATTGAAATGATTTTAATTTACTATTCCATTAATAAAAATTTATTGTTTCATTGACAAAAGAAATTTTATTAATAATTCTTTGTTTTTATGTTATTTATAATCTGATGCAAGAAACCTGTGTTTCTTGAATAAAAAAAAAATCATTCTTAGTTTAGAATTTAGAAAGAACCAATGCTGCTTAAAAATCAAACTATATACTAATACAGTAATTTACCAACATACAATGATGCTTAATTGATGTCCTTTCATGTAGATCCTTTGGTGATCCTTTACACTGATCCTTAGTTCTTTACTGTGATAAAAAATAAAAACACTTACTCATAAACACCTTTTTCGATTTAAAATACACTAACTAAAACTATTTTAAAAATAAAAAATTGAACTTGATTGTGATCTATGTTTTCACACTTTAAAAACATACCACATAATAATTGTTATTTATTTTAAATAGCAAAAAATTGGAAATGAAGTTTATAAAAGAACTTTTTTAAATATGTCCAAATCCAAATAACTAAAACTTGACACACACATATAGGTACGCGTAAATCTGTGTTTTACGGAACCGAATTTTGTGCTAAAATTCTGTGCCACGTTTTTTGAACTTTTTTTTAGGTAGCGTCAGGCGAACTTTATTTTGTGGTGTTTCTTTACAGAAACATAACTAAACTTAGAGTATTTTTGGAAAAAAGAACAGTTAAACTTGATTTTTGTGTAACATTTATGTGTGGTTGGTTAGTTTTGTATTGACTTTAAATATATTAAAAACTTGGTTGTTGTTCTCAGATGAAATTATTGTCGAAGAAATGCATAGATAGTTTGCAAACCTACCCAGATAGTTTTTTACATGTATTTTTTAACCACCTACCAAATTTCATTGAAAAATATTATTGAGCAGATAGCCTATAAAATTGAGCAGTTTTGGTACCTTATTTCTGTTTTTCTGTTTCCGAAGTGGGTGGTAAGAGGGGGTACGGAACAAGTTGAGTTTTATTAGGTTAATTTGGTGATATAACTATGAAGAGGTTATAAAGTAATTTACCAGTTAATATCTAACATTGTTTGAATAATTACAACTGACTTAGGTCATAACAGTTTGAGGCAGAACCATTTACCTCTACATTTCCAAAGTTCAACACAATAAGTTTTTAGTTACTAACACAAAATAATAACACTTCATCATGGTTTTAATTGAAGAAAATATCAACTATCTTCTTCTAATATTTTTTATAATAACATGAACTTTAATTAACAGTTAAAATTAATTTTATATATATATATATATACATATATAAAATCTGTGTTAGTGCAATAACACTCTTTTAAGCTATCATAATACTCATGGTATTATAGCATTATTATATTTAAAAAAAAAATGCCTAAAAGCAAAAAGTGCCCAAAAAAATCAGTTTTTTATTTTATTTTTTGTTTTTCTTTTATGTAAATTGAACCTTATTTATTCACTTATAAGTAACTCCTTCATATTAACCTTAAGCTTATTTAAATCGAACAGGTGACAGGGAAAATGCTTTTAAATATTCTTTAAATAACTTTCGCACTGTTTTCCCATATTATTTTAACCTTTTTTATGTAATCTTTAGTTCGATCTGCACGTCCTATTTCAGGTAAATTTATAAGTTATCATTTTTCAAACCAAAAGCATATTGCTTAGTTTTCTTTTCTCGCAGCTTTTCTATAATAATATAATATTATATTAAATAATTGATATATATAATATAATATTAAATAATTTTTTTTTAATCTTTCTTATGTAAAATTTAGTCCCATCTACAACTCCACCCACAAGTAAGTGTATTAATTAGGACTTTTTAAAATGAGTATAGATTACGTAATAATGTGTTTTTCTTGTTTATCGTATCTTTTTTTATATAGCAATATAAGTTTATATATGTGTAATATAATATAGTGGAATTTTTTATCTTCTCATATTTCTTTTATGTAATATTTAGTATTATCAACAACTGCCTCCACTGGTAAGTTTATTAGTCAGAATTTTTAACAATCTTTATAGTCTACATGCCAAATCAATGTTTGATTCGTTTGTTGCATTATTGTGTCATTTTTTTAACTTTAGTTTCATCTGCTACTGCTATCGCTAGTAAGTTTTTAATTGACCTTTAATTAAATAATAGTTTTAAAGAATTTTTTTTTCAGTTAATAAGTTATGACAATCAAATGGTTGTTGATAACGTACCAGTTAAATGTGTTTTCCTTTGTTTGGTTTTTTATTTCAAATAAATAACTTACTATAATTGTTTAAAATTAACTTCCTTACTTTAAATGTTTTTATTGTTGTATTTGAAGGTGATCCAATATTGAAGTTAATTCAAGAAAGTATGTTGACTTTTTTTAATTATATACTTTGTTTGAACGATATCAATTATTATTAGATATAATTGTTATTATTAATATTGAAATTAAACTTGATTGATTGTCAAGTAACATTAAAATTCAATAATCTATTTACTATTATATACGCCACTATTGCTAATAGTATTGCAAGTAATGTTGTTGATTATTAAATAAAAGTATATTGTTGATATTAAATAAGAGTCTACATCTAACTTGTAAGCTACATTAATTACACTAATGATAATGGTATTGAAAATGGAATGAGTGCAGAAAATAAAAATCCAATGTTGCAAATTTAAAATGTATAGTAAATATATTTGTTATTGCTTTCTACAATGCTGTTATTTTGAAAAATAACATACTTAATTACTTGTTTATAGTTCCTTAAATTTTATTGATTTCATTGAAATTGAAAAATTAACAGTTGATTGCTATATTTCTAGTTACAGGTATGCAAGGTATTTTAAAAACAGTTTTTTCTTTTTATGTTAACATTTGCAATGTGTCTTTTGAATTTTTATATTATCATGTGTTTTATGTTGTTAGTATTCATTAGCATTTTGTGTGTGTATAAATAGTGTTTTTTATTTATGCAATAACACAATATTATTATAAATATTTTTAATAATATAATTTATATTTGTTATAAATTATATTATTAATTGGTAGTTATACTTTCTTTATAATTTTTTCAGGTAACAATGGGCCCAAAAAGCAAATTTTTTTTTTTTTTTTTTATGGTGCAGTTAAAGAGTATTTAGATACACAATTCTTATTACCTGCTGAAACATACAGTTGCTGTAAAAATAGGCATGTACTTTTTTTATTCATTAACAATGAATTAAGTCATTTATTAAGACTATTCAACTAGTCAATGACTTATTTAATTTAAGTATTTGTAAAACACAAATCTTTAGCATTTTGAAAAAATGCAAAAGTTGAGTTTGCAACTTTTCAAGGGATAGTAATCGTTTTGAGGAATTTTGTAATGAACCCTTTGCATGCAATGCACCAATCTTGCCTATCTTTCAATCATTGAGTCCTACCCCAAGTAGTTCTCTTACTAATGTTTCAAGTAGTTTAGATAATTCATCAATTGAGCACATAAGTAATTTATCACAACTAAACAATGTACAGAATTGGCAACAATCCAGAGGAGAATTGAGCCCTAGAAAAAAGAAAATGAAAACCAGGTTGTCTTATTTAACTTCTCAGCTTGTTGTCTCGTCCAGCATGCATCGAAAATGAAAACCAGGTTGTCTTATTTAACTTCTCAGCTTGTTGTCTCGTCCAGCATGCATCGAAAAAAATTAGCAACAGTGAGGGCAAAATTGAAAAGTATGCCATACAAGTTAAAAGTGCTAAGACAAAGTGTTACACGAAAGGAAAAAATTATTAAAGTTTTGAGAACTGAAATTAGAGATCTTAAACAAAAGTTGCGCACATATTATTGCAGTAGAATAATGCATAATCTTAAAGCTACAAAAAAGGCAATGAAAATTAAAGAATTTCGAAAGCTAAAACAAGTTAAAGTTGTACATAATAAAGATATTATGTACAACATTAGGTATCGCAAGTGATGAAACTTGCAAAACAGATATGGCAATTGCAAAAAAGTGCAAACTTGCGAAAAAGTATTGCAAGTCATAAAACTTGCAATAGTCATACCAAGTCAAGTATACCAAGTACTCAACCATATGCTTTTATTTCACTTCTTTTCATATATATCAAAGACCTTTAAAAAATATAATAATTAAAATTTCAAAATACTGGACTAACAAATCATTTTTCTTGACTCATGAGAATTAAAAATTTTTATACTTGATAATTCTTTCAGATGCATTATTTGTATGTTTTTAGAGAAGAGTAAAAGTATTCGACTTGGAATGACATTTGCACAAGTGTTGTGACTTGCAAAATTATTTGATAGGTGGCTTACCTTAACATGTCTGTCGTTAGAAATGATTATTATGTAATTCCATTTATGGAATTGATTATTTTAATTGTTTACTAAAATTATTTTACCAAGAAATAGCCAATATTTATTCACCATGACAACTATTTTAGCATATCTAAAATGTCTTAATACAGAACAAAATAAAATTGATTTGTTAGTAATAACCTTTTATTTTTAGACTTTCAAACAAAACAAAGTTTTTTGTTCATTCAACAACCATCTCACATTCTTCTTAAGGAAGGTTTTATTATGAAGGGTAATTTCTATTAGGTTCTGATTTTTATATATATGATCAACTGTTTTACTTTAAATTTATTTTTATTTATATATAAGATCACCATTTAGATTAATATAATAACCATTTTGATACTAATATTCACTAATCAAAGTGGTTACTTGGTAGCTTACAGTGGTAGCTGTCTCATAATCTGATAATTTATCAACAATTTTATACATTTCGTGTTTAATTTTTTTTCTTATTGGATACAACACTCATATTTTTGATTTTGTAATGAAACATATTTCATACTAATTTATTTCATACTAATTTATTATACTAATATATTAAAGATACAAATATTTTAAAGAATTAAACATCTTTTCATTTTAGAATGCGTGCCTCTATTACTGCCACATTCAATAAACTTCTCATCCTAACCAAAATTTACAAATAGCAGATGAGAGACGTTTTTCAAATTTAAGATTCGTGGTGGTGTTCAAGCCCCTAGATTATGCCTAATGCTAAAAGACTAGTTCACGTTTTAAATTGGTAATTTATTTTACAGTATTTACGACTGTTAAATTATAAAAATTTATTTACATTTTCTTTCTTTTTTTTTAGGTTGGGGGGGGGGTTACATGCCCCTCCCTATTGTCAATATGTACACCACCAATAAATCAAAAATCTTGAAGAACAATTTTTTTTTGTTTTTATACTGTATACTGATTTCACTTGTTTTATTAAAAATAGAAATGTTTATAAACGTAAAAGATTTTTGAAACTAGGGTGTGTTAAACCATCCACCATATCCACCACCAAATTTAATATACACCAATCATTAGTCTGGAATAAAATTATAGCAACTTTTTGTATGAAAAAATTCCCATTTGTTGAAAAAAAGCACTCTTTAATGAAAGAAATATGCTTATTTTTACGGTGAAGGTAGTGGTTTGGCACCCCCTCTAGCCCCCAGGAAACATCCAGTAGGTAGAGGTAGTTATAAATTTGTAGCCCACTGTTACATCTATCTTTTGATACCAAGTTATAGGTATTTAGATAAGAATTGACAAAGTTATAACAATTTAAGTGAAGAAAAATTAAATTTTGACCACAGTTTCTTCAACAAATCCATATATCAAAAATTTGCTACTAAAAACCTCATAACTTTTTATAGAATTGTTCAATTTTAATAATTTTTTCACCTTTAAAATACTGTATTGAAGCCCTTTCTATTGATGTATAACAATCTAGCTTTGGATCAATTTAAAATTTTCAATCCACATACCTAACACATAAGACTTTTTTCATATACTGTTAACACTGAAGATAGTTATTAAGTAAGATAAACTATACTAAAAAAATATTAATCTTAACCTGTTTGAGTTAATCTAAACCTGCTTGTGTCAAACCTTGGAAGTGTATCAAGAAAATTTTAAATTTGGCAGTTAAACAATAACAAGCATACATTCCATATCATATTACACTACAATAACAATAAGTGAACATACATTCATATCATATTGCGCTGTAATTGTTAATAATACTATGTATTACGCTGTAATATGATATGAATATGAATGTATGCTTATTATTTTTTAGTTTTGTCAAATTTAATATTTTTTATTACAATATGATTTAAAAAAAGGGGGATATAATACATTAATGTAATAAATATAATGCATTATATTTATGATAAGAATGTATTTATACTAATAGTATAAATAATATCTTATAATATCATATAAATTAAACTTATACTGAGTATTATATATTATGTTAAAGTAAATTCTATTATAATAAAAAAATATTCAATTTGATAAACAATGTGATAATGTAATTTACAGTATGAATGCTGTAAATTACAGTATGAATGTAATTTACAGATTTACGGTATGAATGCATTCATTTCATTTCTATACTTTTTTTTTTTTTAAGTAAAAAGTTACGCTTTAAAGAAAATTTACACTTTTTATTATAAAAAAATAGGCGGTAAAAACAAATTTGGTCTTATCATCCTCAATGTTTTCTTATCACTTGAGCAGTATATCATTATTTTTTTCGAAAAGTGAGTAATGTCATAACTATTCCATTATTTTTATCAAGTTTGAACATAAATACAAACACATGATAAAGATTTAAACAAAAAAATTATAAATAAAACCTTGAACACTTCGAACACTTGCTTCACTATTGTCTATTATATTTAGTATTCGATAGTTGTTATTTTTAGTACATTACTTGACATCAAAGAACATTACTAAGCACTATGCTCAGTGGTTACAACAAGAAAATAAAAGCCTTCAGCGCCAATAATCATAATGATTATTGGCGTCTTCAGCGCCAATAATCATAATTTTAAAAACTTCGATCAAGGTCGTCCGATCTATTAAAAATGCAAATAAATAAATCGTGATTATGTTTGCGACACCCGATTTATAGTCATACTTTGAAAATTTGATAGTATAATTATCAAGTAGGCCCCGGATTTGAAGACGTTTTATTTTATTGAGAAGTCCTAAAACGAACGTTAAACGCAACGGTGTTCTAAGCAAAACAAGGTTTATCATTTAGAGGACACATAAAACATCAACATTGCAAAACGGGTGATACCAAACAGGGGCGGATCCAGCACTATTTGGTCTTTGAGATAGATAACTTCTAGACATGGAGCAAACTCCGAAAAATTATATGCTTATACTTATGTCCAATAAGGATGGTTTGCATAAAATTGCGATGATTGGAGCCTGGGAACAAAAAAGCCCCAAAATTCGAGACGTCCCTGCCCCAAACGTGTGAGCAACAAGTTGACAAAATATTTTTTGTACTGTTCTCAAATAGACTTATATTTATCAATAAATTTTAAATTTCATAGTAAAATATTTTAGTGCTCAAAAACTATAACTATATAAAATTTGCAGCCCCTCAAATTGAGAGGGTTTAATTTATCAATAAATATGAGTCTAGTTGAGAATAGTACAAAAAATATTTTGTCAACTTATTGCTCTCACGTTTAGGGCAGGGGCGTCTCGAATTTTGGGGTTTTTTTGTTCCCAGGCTCCAATCATCGCAATTTTTTGCAAACCATCTTTATTAGACTTAAGTCCTAGTGGACACAAGACGTAATTAAGACGTTTAAAATGTATTAATATGTGTTAAATACGTCCTGTGCCCACAGGGGTATAAACATATAAATTTTTGGAGTTTGCTCCATGTTTAGAAATTATCTATCTCAAAGACCAAAAAATGCTGGATCCGCCCCTGGCAAAAGTACAGCTAATAACGCTGGCAATTTTCTTAAACTGTTAGCTCTATTAACCAAATATGATCTTACTTTGGACAATCATCATTGGTATGAAAAAAGGAATGAACTGTATTTAAGTCATGATGTACAAAATGATTTAATTCAATTACTTGCTTCTGAAATTTCATCTACAATCAATGATGAAGTTAAAATAGCCCAGTTTTTTTCTTTAACTATTGATTCAACTCTTGATATTTCTAGAATTGATCAGATGCCAATTTCATTACGATTGGTTTCAAAATCAGATAACGTTATGGAGAGATTTATAGACTTCTATACTATAGAATGCAGCAACGCTGTAGCATTTGCTAAGTTAATTATATCTGAGCTTGAAAAACGAAACATCGGTATTAAACTCTGCAGAGGACAAGCATATGATGAGATGTCCGGAATTAAAAATAGTCTTCAAATTTGGATAAAAGCGCTTTCACCAAATGCCATCTAAGTTCACTGTTGTGCTCATGTTTTGAATCTGGTTACCATCGAAGCAATGTCTGTAAACAGTTGTTTTTCGACACAGCTAAAAAGTTGTAAACATACCTTATGTCTAGTTTACCACAGCTTCATATTCTCCAAGAGCACCAGAAACGTTTAAATAAATCAACAGTTGATACTCTAAAACAACAACTGATAAAAGATTGGCAAGCAGGAAGCATGCAGTTGATGTTGTTGTTGAATCTTTTTTTGCTATTCTAGCCACTCTAGATGATATAAATCTCGTCGAGTCTTAAGAACATGTAGGGAGTGTTAGAGCAGAAGCTATTGCACTATCAGTTTCAATATAAAAAAAGCACTCATTTGTCTTTCTAATAGTTTTTTTGCAAAAGTTGATAAAAAACCTTTTTGTGTTATCAAACTATTAGCAACAAAAATATTATTTGCAAAACATTTGATAATACAAAAAAAAGTTTGTCCATATGAAAAGTGAACTTTCGATGTTTTTCATTTAGCAGTCAAATCATTTGTTAGTATAAAATGTGATAGATGTAGAAACTGAATTAAAAGAAAGGCAAGTTGCCAAAAAGAAATGCATGGCTGGAGAGCTGTTGAGTCAATGATCCAACTACACGCTTTAAAAATAAAACCTACTTCAATGTTTTGGATAAAATTATAACCCAAAAATAAATGAACAACTTCAAGACTTTAGTAACACAGTTACACATTTTGATTACAAGAACCCGTCAACATTATCCGAGAAAAATATAAATTCATTTAAAAATTTATGTGAAACTTATTGCAACGACAAAGAAGCAGTCGTAAAGTATGAGACTTTCAAAGATGTGTATGCATCAATATCTCCATCACTGACAACTGATCTACAAATGAAAGACGTGCTTCCATTCTTGGTTGAAAAACAGATGGCACCCGGTCTTCCTATCTTGTCTATACTTTACAAAATCTACTTGATTCTTCCTGTTGCATCTTCTAATGCTGAGAGAAGTTTCAGTAGATTAAAGGTTATAAAAAATTATCTTAGATCAACACTGACAAACGTCTTTCTGGATTACCATTAGTTTCTATTTAACGTTAGCATGTTGAATGCATTGACTTTGACTTTTTAGATAAATTGTTTTGCTTTAATAATATCTTGCAGAAAAACATTTTATAAACTACCTGAAAAGTATCTTTCTTTTTTAATGCTTACCCTTGTAATTTGTCTAGTTAAATAGATTTTTAAATAACTGAACTATTTCATTAATATTAAATGTTTCTTATTTTATAAAAGATAATTGTTAACTAAAATGAAGGAAGTAAACTCAAAATTTAGGTTGTTAGTGCCTTACATGTATGTAATAGTTATGATAAAAGTCACATAAAACCACCTATAAAATGTTTTAATCATAAGTGCGATCTTCTGGGGTTTAAAGTACCACACCCAACCTCGGTTGCCCTCTACTCATTGGCTGGCCCCCCACCTCCTTCCACAACACTAAATCTCAATCTGCCACTTTATTTAATACTTTAAGAGATTGTAGCAGTTCTTTAGATGTTTAAGGAAATTATTTTTATTTTGAGGGGGTTTTCAATTTGTGCGGCTGTGGCGCAGTAATCTTCCAATTTAAATGCTCTTCCGTGGTGCTTTGTGACAAGACAGTAAGATCTTCGTGGCGTACCTAAAACAAAAATTAAAAAAAAAATTTACATAGTCATAACTTTCAAATTTTGTCAAAAAGATTTTTGACAAAATTTGAAATCTATCGTTAAATATAAATTTAGTTTAGATTAATGATAATATAAAACTCTTGAAAAATAGTGCTCGCGCATTCAGGGTTGGGCAGAAAGGGGGGTTTAATAAAATAAATTTTAGGAATTTTGTCGTTCCCAGGTTCCAATCAAAGCAATTTTACTTAAACATTCTTATTTAATACCTTAATAAACATGTCCACGTTTGAAGTTTGCTCTGTCTATTTTTCGATTTATTTATTTATTAATTTTTTTTCAGGTATAAAATATAAAGATACAGTTATTATCGTGAAAAAAAGAAAAAGCATATACAAAATTCTAACGTATTAGAATAAATGAGTAAAGTATTGATACAAACTTTAATTTAAATTTTGGTATAAGAACTGTTAAATATATTTTTCCAAATTATAAAACCTAAAAAAAAGGAAATCAAAGAAGAACCAGCGTTTTTGGGTAGAAAACTCCAAAAAAATTCCGTAAACAGCCCCATTTGGCATATAACTTTCCATGTAAAAAGTTAATTAAAAAGCTATAACTTTTTTGTAATTAGCTTTGTAATTACTATTTCCACTGTTTTTTTTTTCTATATTCGATATTCTATTTAAGTCTTTCAGTTTTTGATTTTTCAAGTTTTTCCATGTTTTTGGGTCTTGTGACATAATTGAAAATTCAGAATACCGGTTGTGACGTAACTGAAAATTCAGAATACCGGGTTTTAGTTTTTTTAATATAATAGTTATGGAAACCATTTGATCGCAAATTATAACTTTGAAAAAGTGATGTGGAAAATATGTCTAAAAATGAATTTGGTAGCATATTACTTCTATATCTAAATATAAAAATAAGAATTAAATATAAATTAAGTTTTTCCAAGTTTAAGACTTTTATATTTTTCATCACAGAAGGATTGTCCATTCTACTTAAAT